AAATATTTAATAACTGTCTTCACAATTAAAAAAATGACACTGGTTTGCAGTGCTTGCCAATTTCTGTGCTGTAGATACTCACTCTGTGGGTAATTTTAAGCTACCAATATGACATCACCAAATCAATAGTTGGAGAGAGATGTGTACAATTGGTCTTTGGGAACCAGTGGGAGCTGAGTCCAGGAGCATATCCCAAAATAAACTACCTACATACAAACCTTTGTCTCAGAAGACAAGCAGTGGCTCAAGAATGACAGTGTTATCTTCCTGTCTGGGCCAATAACCAGAGAATGGTGGGTGCACTGATGTTAGCTATCGATAGCAATAAGATGGAAAAAAAAAGCATTCTAAGCTTGGAAGGGGAAGAATCTCTATTGTATAACAAATTGTTAGTGGGACACTCAGAAGTTTTATCCTTTGAGACTGGATAGCTAGTAATGCCATTTCCAGAGACAAAGGATAGAGGAAGATGGTGATTTCAGTTTGAGGGTTTTTCATGACATTCAGGTAGAGTTAGCTGGTAAGAAGTACATGTGTGACACTTAGGAAAGTTGTGGAAGCTGTTGCAATATATTATTGTGAAATTTTATTCTTGATAACTACTTATTCCTGGAGTATCCCACTCCCTTCCTCTCTCCCCTCACCCAGGTGGCAGTAGTGAGTGCTTTCTATCATTACTGCCCCCAGGGGAGGTTGTTAATACAGAATGATGAGTCAATGCTCATTTTATAAGTTTCCAAATAGAACTCTGAATCAACTTGTCAAGAAAATAGGTTGCAAAAAAACATTCATTTAAGTCTCAAAAGCCTAGATTTTGAATGTAGTGGCAATAAGATGGAGTAGAAATGACAATATGGTGATTTAACAGTGCGCTAGAGTCCAACCCCCAAGATTTACGTCTCTAAAGTAGCAGGGGATTGCATGTGGAAGTTTCCAGAATCCTAAAAAAAAGGTGGAAAATGGTTGAGAGAGGGCTAGTGAACCAGAAGAGCCCTTAGAGATGGAACAACAACCAGAGAATGATGGATAAAGTGACGACAACTATGTATTTCAGTAGAGAGGGACAACAGGAAAAAAGACACCTCTTCCTTCACTATGACTACATGTAAACTCCTTGTACTTAGTGTCCACTCATGAGGTTGTGAGCAGAAAAGAAAAATAATTATTTGATTAAGTTAAAACCTGAGAAGACTGAGAAAATCTGAAGTGATTATCTCATTGCACATAAAATTTACCATAATTAATTCCATAAATTACCAAACTTACCATATTAAAAGATTAAAAGAAAAAGGATCATCTCAAGAATTATAGAAGATACTGTTAGTTAAAATTCAATGTCCACTTATGATCAATAATCTTAGTGAACTGGGATTAGAAGTGGATTTCTTAACCAAATAAAGAATTGGAAAAAACAAAAATGAAAACACAAACAAAACCCAACAGCAAATGTCATTCTCTTAAAGCCAGAAACATGACAATTGTACAAGTTATCAACCTATCTATTTAAAGTATTAGGACACTAAGGTAAGAATAAGAAATGCAAGTTGAGAGGATTGGAAAGGAAGAAACAAAATTACCATTCAAAGATGTTAATGTTTACATGAAAATGGAAATAATTATTTTGGACATAATGAAGTTCAGCAAGTTTGTTGAATACCAAAACAAATATACAAAACTCAGATGTATTTCTGTACACTGACAATAAGCTTTTAGGATAGGTAAATTTAAAAAGATACCACTTTTACAAATAGCAGGAAAAAAAAGGCATGTTGGAATAAATACAGCAAAATATGTTTAAGACCATAGTGGAGAAAATTAGAAAAGTTTTGTAAGATATTCAGATCTACTTATTTATTTGTTCATTTATTTTTTAAATAAACTTTATTTTAAAGAATATTTTAGATTTACAGAAAAATTGTGAAGATAGTAAAGACAATTCCAATATCCCAGACCAAGTTTCCCCTGTTGTTAACATCTTATACTAGTATGGACATTTGTTACAATTTTAATAAACAAATTTTGATGTTATTATTAACTAAAATTTGTATTTTATTCAGAATTTATTAGTTTGTTTCTACCGTTCTCTTCTGTTCCAGCTTTCCATTCAGGATGTCACATTACATTTAGTTGTCAGGTCTTTAGGTTTCTATGGTTTGTTTTTGATGGACCTTGACAATTTTGAGAAATATTAATCAGGTATTGTAGACTCTCTATTGGGATTTATCATGTTTTTCTCGTGATTATACAGTTTATAGGTTTTTAATCTGAGAGGTAAAGTGCCATATTCATCGCATCATATCAAGGGCACATAGTGTCAACATAAGTTATCACTGTTGATGTTGACGTTGACCACCTGGCTGAGGCAATGTTTGTCAGGTTTCTCCACTGTAGAGTTACTCTTTTGCCCCATTTCCAGGTTGTGCTCTTTGGGAGAGAGTCACTGTGCTCAGCTCACACTATAGCAGTGGGAAGTTATGCTCCACATCCTTGAGGGTATCATATCTACATAAATGATTTGGAATTCCATCCAAAGATTTGTTTCTTTCTTTTTAAAGTCTAATTCTTTTTTTTAAGATTTTATTTATTTATTTTTAGAGAGGGAAGAGAGGGAGAGAGAAACATCAATGTGCGATTGCTGGGGGCCATGGCCTGCAACCCAGGCATGTGCCCTGACTGGGAGTTGAACCTGCGATGCTGTGGTTCGCAGCCCAAGCTCAATCCACTGAGCTACGCCAGCCAGGAGATTTGTTTCTTTTCCCTATTTATTTAAACATTAATTTATATCAGTATGAAGTCATGTATATTAATTTTGATTGTAATCCAATAGTTAATTTTGTTGCTCACATTGTTCCAGCTTTGGCTATTAGAAGGTCTTTGACATAGCCCCATTACGTGGGCTCAATTTTTTAAATAAAAACTTCTTTACTTTCTGGCATGAAAAAAGGCTCCAGGCTCATCTTGTGCATTTCTTGCCACAGTCCTAGAATCAGCCATTTCTCCAAGGAGCCCCGATTCCTTTTATTGGAGATATTTATTTATTTTTAACAGGCACAATTTCATTTTTTATTTTAAAATTTGAAACAATCTCAAACTTGCAGAAAAGTTGAAAGTATAGTTTAAAAAACCTTATTTCTTTTACCATTTGAAAGTACTTTGTTGCCTTGTTGTTCCATCACCTCATAATACTGTAGTGTATACTTCTTACAAGCAAGGTCACTCTCATTTATATAACCATAATATAATTATCAAAATATGGCAATTAGCATCCATATATTACAGCTCTCTAATCCTCCAATACATTCATGTTTCAGCAAATGCCCCAATGTCTTTTATAGCATTGAGGTTCAGAATCATGAGATGCCTTTACTTGTCATGTCTCTGTGATGATTAATTTTATGTGTCAGCTTGGAGGGAATTGGGGTGAGATCAACTGTTAAATTGGTGAACTCTGGGTAAAGCAGATTGCTCTCTATAATGTGGGTGGGCCTCATCTAATCAGTTGAAGGCCTGAATAGGACAAAAAGATTGGTCACCCTGAACAAACAGTAATTCTACAGCACACAGCATTTGGAATGCATCTGCACCATTAGCTCTCTTGAGTTTCCAGGCTGCTGGCCCAACTGCAGATTTTGGACCTGCTCACCTCTGAGTGCATAAGCCAATTCCTTATAATAAATTCTTTCTACATACACGCACACATCCAATTGGTCAATTCTGTTAGATATGTTAGACACTGTTTCTGTGTTGTTTAATACCATAGTCACTAACCACAGTGACTATTTACATTTAAATTAACTATAAAAGTCCTAATTTGCACTTGCTACATTTCAAGTGCTCAGTAGCCATGTGAACTAGTGGCTATCAATATTGACAGTACAGATACATAAGGTTTCCTTCACTGTGGAAAGTTTTACTGAACAGTACTGAGTATAGTGACTGAATGTAGAGGGCCTAAACCTCTTATAGCACTTGGGTTTTCCCTCAAGGTTGGAGAATGGCTGAACCCTCATTTAGATTTGTGGAATTCAAGGGCAGAGGTGACTTATGTCCTGGGTACAGCCTTACATGGAAAGCTTTGTAGAAGTACCCACCATCTCCACCACATACTGAGTGGAATGGCAGCAATGTGGTGATGCAGAGCTTGAGTACCTAGAGCCAGCTGGAAACTGGCCTCAGGTCTCTGTAATGGTGCAGAAGGGCCAAGAGCAGAAAAGAGAGGTCATTATATATCAGCAGCTGCCTGCTTAATTCGCTATGAGTTGGGGTTCAGACATAAGGAATAAGAAATTATGAGTAAAGTCAATGACATTTGGAATTATCTTCAGTAGTATATTAGCTGATGCTTTATCTTACAAACCCCTGGGATTCTGGTTATTTTATTATAGGCTTTAGGGAGTGTGTATACTTCTTTTCCATTCATTAAAAATCTAAGTAGCACTAATGTAAGCAGCATTGTGCCTTGAAATAACATGAACGTCCTACTTAAATTAAAAGATGTGTATCAGAGAAAGAGGGATTAAGGGAAAGTATTATTTCTAAAATAAATGGACATACTGAATATTTTCAGACTGTTTTACTACCAACCCACTAAAAAAGCATGGGTGTGTGAGAGTTTATAAAATTCCTGACCATTATGGAATTTTTCAGTCCTGTTTATTAATTGCCACCTCTTTCCCCTACAATACAGATGACAAAATTTGTATTGTTTATCAGTAGAATTCTGATACATCATATAAATGAAGTGGACCCTACCAAACATAAAGTATGACAAAATCTCATATAATAAACTAATAATATGGCCTATAGTCTTGTTCCTACCTTTCAGGACTTTAAACTGTTTATTCTGGATTCCTTAAGGAAAGTTTCAATTAGACTTTGGAATTCTACAGCTCTGCAAATTTTTACAACTAGAAAAATGAGAAAAATGACAATATGAGTTCTCACAAGTGCTTACAATTTTCCCTGTTCTCTTTTATGGGTGCTTATTTGGTGGGCGTCCTCCTGCGATTATGGAACTATAAAACCTATTAGACGTGACTGTAAAATAAGCATAATAACTCCATAGCACAGAAGGTCCTCCTTCATTTTATTCGTCCCCCTTCTTCGCTACTTCCCAGTGGTGCTACAGGTCAAGGGTTAGCTAAGCAGGTTTAGAGCGATAAGCCTGGAGGCTGGACTTTATTGGTAGGCTTTAAAGATCGAACGTATGACAGGAAATAGCTTATGAATTGGTACAGTGTGCCATCCCTTCAGGCCTCCCCGTTTGCAGCCACGCTCAGACGGGACTTTCCTTGGAGTTCCCAAGGTCCCGCTTCCGTTGGAATCGCAGCCGTAACCCACAAGAAAGCACCTGAAAAAAAGCATCTGTTATTGTTTTTTTAAATTGATTTTTAGAGGCAGAGAAGAAGGGAGAAAGAAGGAAAAAATACCCCATCAATTTGATGTTTCACTTTATCCATTCATCGGTTGATTGGTTGCTTCCTGTGTGTGCTCGGACAGGATCTAACCGCAACCTTTGCGTATCAGGATGACGCCCCAACCAATGATGCAGCCTCGCCGGTGTGAACGCATTTGATCTTTAGCTTTTGGTGAGGTTGAGATGAAGGGCTCCCGAGCCCAGGTGTGTCTAGTCACAGGCCGAGCTGCGGGGCGGATCTCAGTGTGACTTGTTGCAGAGGAAAACCGTGGCTTAGTTTCCCAGGGGCGGGGCAGACCTTCTCCAGGCCTCCAAAGCCTACCTGGCAGAACGCCCTGGGGCTGCACGACTCCTCCAGGCGGGCCTATCCGCCACCACACCCCGGCGCGGGGGCAGAAAGTACGCCCCCACCACGCGCGCTCCCCACCTTCGGAGCCCAGGCACGCGCGCCGCCGGCCGAGGGGCAGCCAGCGGGTTCCGCCGCTCTTCCGCGACCACTAGCACCCACCGGCCGGGGGCGGCGCTGCGGCCGCCGTGGGAGCACCGCCTCCTCTTCCACCAATTCCTCCCGCCTCCTCTCTCCTCTCTTTCCCACTCCCTGGGCGGGGTGAGCGCGTCCGGTTTGCTGTAACCGTTCAGAAATGGCAACTTGCGCGGTGGAGGTTGTCGGGCTCCCGGAGGATGAGGTGCGAGGGCCGTGGGGTTGCGGGGCGGGCTCCCCATCGCGCTGCCCCTCGGTCAGACCGGAGGCAGTGGCCAGGGTGTGGGCAGTCAGCCCCCTCCTTCCTCTGCGCGACCCCGGGAACGCGCAAGGCGCGGTGGGACCCGGGGGGCGACCCGGCGCGTGAGTGCTGGAGCGGGGGCTCGCATTAGAGAGCCGCGTTTCGTTCGCAAACCTGTGGACTCCACACCCGTCTCCTCCCTGAGACGCCGCGTTCCTCCTCAGTTTCCGTAAGGAAGTGTTGCGGAAGGGGCTAGGCTGAGAGCGGCGCGAGTGAGTGCGTGTGGGGACGCACATCACCCCGCCTGCCCCTGCTGCTACCCTAGGCCAAGTGTGCTTGAGCTCCCGGAGGGGGGCTGAGTGGGGTGGTGCTTGGGGTGGGGTGGATTTCCCGGGAGCTTAGCATCCCGGTGGTTGATCAGCCTGCTCTGGCCGAGGCCCGCTATACTCAACTTTATGGACTTTGAGCTGAAGACTTCCAAGTGAATAGCGATTACGGTTTTTTTCTTTTCTTTTCTTTTCCTTTTTCATCTGCAGTCCTTTTTAACCCTCACTGTAGACGGGGATGGGGAAGCAGACACATCGATTTTCTTGTATTTAGCAACAAGTTTCAAGTGTGAAAAGTTCATGCTATGTTTCACCAGTCTATATTGATATAAGAAAATAAAGCTGAAAAAGTATAAATACGTTAAGGAACTTCCCATAACTGTTCATTTTGAAAATTAAGTTCTGTGATTTGACAAGGCAAAGCTGTTTCTTTTCAGTTAAGTAACGAGCTGGTTGTGCCTTACCTTTATTAAACATGAGCCATTTTGAAAGGATTGTTCCATTTTAAATGAAATGTGGCTCCCCTCTGTTTTTGGTGATTGTCTCAAAAATGGACATGGTTGGGAGGTGAAAAGGCTTTGTAGTCTAACAGTTTGGAGGAAAAAGACATCAAATTTAAGCATTCTTGTTGACTGACTACACTGTCACATATATCTGTTTCAAGATCCGACCCTCTTAACTGTATGTAAGTCCTTCAGCCAACTGCTTAAGTATATTCTAACAGTGTTGTAATAGTGTCTTTCTTAGTAACTTAGTATCTTTAAACTTTTTACAAAATGTGTTTTTTTACATTTCTCTTGAAGGTTCTTTGTTTATAAACAGTGGGCAATGTATTGATGCAGTTATTTGCTTGTTTTGAGAATGATTATGCAATGTGATGAAACTTTAATTTATTAGTGATTGTTACCAGAAGAGAAACAAAGAGGCAGAGGACAAATGGTGGCAATTTGGCAGTCCCTTGGGAAGAACAGTCAATATGTTGCAGCTAAAGATAATATTCAGCTAGTGTTCTGTAGAAGACATCAGAGGAAAATAATGCCCTGTTGAACCTATGATAGCTTTCTTCTTATCAGTCAGGTTTCCTTACTTGCTACAGTAGGGTGTCCAATGCAGATAACCTCAAGCTGGCATCCAAGGTAATCTGGCTGGCCTTGGACTTTTTTCCCCTGTTGTAGTTTGTTGTTGTTGTTGTTGTGCTTGTTGTGCTTGTTTGTTACTCAAAGGGGTGGCAGGGATAGTAGGCCCTGCTATTCCAGATTTCTCATCTCACCCTAGCAAAGCCCATTGAACATAGTCAGAATATTGCCATAGGTGCCATTCACTGTCTGTTCTCTCCCTCTTGGTACAGGATCAGTGTTTTCAGTGATCTGCTTCTCGCATCACCCCTCTGTCCAGCATAGATGAAACGACCTTTGGCATGTAGTGGGTGGTCATTCAACAACTGGGGCTAAAGGCGGGAAACTCCATCCTTTGAGATGAGGTTTTCCTGAACTTGCTGAAGGATTTGTACTTCTGGGAAGTGCAGTGGCATGGGGCCCACCCTGCGGGTATGGTTGTCAGTGCCATGATTCCAGTTTTCTTCCAACTCCCTCTGTACACTTTGTCCATCTTAGGAAGAGAATGAGACAGGAAGATAAAAAGACATGATGGTGAAGTATTGTCTTCCACTTCTTCCATTGTAATTTAGGTTATTCATTCAACATTTATTAGCTGTCTGTTCTGTTTCATGTAGCATACTAGGCACCAGGGATACAGAGAGAAACAACAGTCTCTGCCTGTTCTATGAGGAGCTCACAGTTTGGTGGGGGACAGAAATCACTCGTTTTCTGGGAGAGGTTGACATCTCATCACTGTCATTGGCTATTTTCTGCTTTATCACAGAAGTAAAAGAGTGTTTAGAAAAGCCTCCCCCTCACTATTATTTAAAAAGGAAAACATTCAACTATGTCATTTTGCTAAAACTCAAACTAGTCTGTTGATTAGAAGTAAGGTGGCTTTTTCTATTAAAGCCAAAAAAGAAAGATGATTCTTATTTTAAAATTGAAACTGAAACAAGGAAAAAGATGAATAGATGGAATAGAAGATAGAGACTTGTAATTTAACCAGTACATACTGAATAGCCACTTTGTGACACTGCATGAGCATGTTAGTATTGAAGCCTGCTGAAGTTTAGACCCTAATGCCTCTCACTTTTCAGTGAGTTTTAGCTCTTCTTCCACTTGTGTTTTTCAGTGAGAGGTGAAACTGGCTCCCCGTGCAGAATTTTGCCATTAAAGCATAACAAACTAAGGAAGTAGTGTCATATAATTCACACCAAACTGGCTCTGACAGTCCCTTGGGATTAACAGTAGAAACTAACTCTCATGAATCTTTGGTGAGGTAGACATGAGGATGAGAAGTTAGCATCCCATCCACCCTTGTGCTAGTGGACTTCCCTGTTATACAGAGGCTAGAAAGCTAAACACCATGTTTCTCAGACTTTCTTACACTTAGCATTCTGCAAATACATTGTGAAATGGGTTTCCTAATCAGGTGTACTTACTTGAGATTTGGAAGGTGGAAATGAAGTAGAGTACAACTCTTGTGGGGGTATTTTTGTTTGTTTGTTTTGTTGTTTTTGTTTCTTTTGCTGACAAGCATGGTCATGTAGACAATGAGTTTTTCTGCAACAGTGTTCCAGTACCTGGTACCGCTGTCTTGTGGCTATCAGTAGGAAGTTGCAAGTAGAGGTGGTAGTGGTGGTGCCTTCCTGATGTCTCCACTGGGTGTGTTCTTAGTCAACAGGACTGTGGTAGCTCCTGATTACCTACTTTTCTGACTGGGACAGAAGTGACAGTTTCCTGGGTGGGCTAGTACTGAGGTATTTTCAAGGCTTCCAGAGGCCCAGCTTACAGCCTGCCCCTCCAGCTCATCCAATGATTTTGTAAACACCTAACTCCCTGTATTGTGTGATCTCTATTTCCTGTAACTGAAAACTGACTGAAACAAGGAAAGAAAGAAGGAAGAGTTGAGAGTCTCTACTCCACAATTTGCACATATAGAAGGATGGGTGCCTTTGATGGTAACAAGATAACTAAGTATGTTCTGACACTTCTCCACCCACTGAAGAAGCGGCCTGCTCTGGCATTATACCGAGCCTGGGAACAAAGTTCCCAATCCTTTATTCACTGCACGAAAAGAGGGAGAAGCACAGTTGAAGCAGCAGCTGTGTTAGTATTTAGCTTAATCTTTCATGTATCGTTTATGCCATTACTGCATTTTTGCAACTCTTTAACTCCATCATCATCCTGGAGTTTTTTCATGGGTTTCCATGGGATGAAAGAAATGCATAAATATAGTTTATTTATAATAATTTGCTCTTTAATTATTTTAAACCAACAGAAAGTTTGGAAGTACAGCATGAAAAACTCCAAATCCTCCTCATTCAGTTTCTCCAACTGCTGACATTTACCACAATTGCCCCATAATTCTTTTTTTTTTAGGTGCCATTTTCTTGGTCTTTTTCTGAACTATTTGAGGGCAAGCTGCAGACACAATGCCTTATCACTTCTAAATACTCTAGTATGTATTTGCCTAAAACAAGAATACTTTCCTACACAACAGCCACCCAACCCTCTAAACCAGGAAATCAACATTGATACACTACCATCCAATCCACAGATCCTATTCAGTCTTTGACAAGTGTTCTGATCATTTCATTTTCCTTTCTGATCCAAGATCCCATGGAGGAGCATATGGTGCATATACTTTTCACATATTTGCAGAGTCTTATCTGTGTGAGTTCCTCAGTCTTTCTTATCCTTAATAGTTTTAAGGAGCACAGGCTGTACAACCTGTAGGATAGTCTTCAACCTGGGTCTATTTTCTGTTTCATGCCATGTGAAGGTCCTGCTTTTTTGGCAGGAATCACAGAGATGATGCTGTGTTCTCAGTGCATCACATCAAGGGGCACATGATGTTGACCAGTCCCATCATGGTCAATGATAACCTTGATCACTTGGTTATTTTGATGTCTGCCAGGTTTCATTTTTGTCATGTCACCATTTTTCCTTTATAATTGGTTAGTATATTGTGGGGACATATTCGGAGATTATGCCAGTGTCTCTCCTTCATTTGCCAGCTCACCATCCACCAGCATTAGCTTCCATTGATGACTTCCACCAGCAACAAACATCACTATTTTTTTTATTTTCATCTTTATTAATTGGCATTCTTTGTAAAAAGAGCTTTGCCTTTCTCTTCACTTATTTGTTTATTTGTGTTTATATCAGCATAGACTTATAGCATTGCACCTTATTCACTGGGTTGTAATCAATTACTGTCCTTAAATATTTTGTTGCCCAAATTATCAGAGTCTGGCCTGTGGAAAGGAGGTTCTTAGGTCATGGTGACAAATCCCCATCATTCTTTAAACACTTCATTTCTTTCTGGCAGAAGATGTTCCAG